CGAAAATATTTTCAAGCATTTTATTGAACGTTTTCTCGTAAAAGATATATGTACGAAAAGAATGATTTTTGCTGAAAGTATCTAAAAATTTAGGCACATATAGATTTAAAAATAATTTTGTTAAACCATCAAAATAATTCTGTATAATTCAAGCATGATAAATAATGTTACAACAAGTTTTGACTATTCCAGTCCAACTAGCTTGAACGGTAATCCTTCATAATTATATTTGATTTGAGTCCAACAAAATTACTTTCACATCATCTGTATTTACAACTTAATTTTTAGATATTTTAGCAAAACTCTTTTCGTGTGTACGATTTTCGCGATTCGGTTCTTACTGAACTAGAAACAGTTCAGATAGCCGAAAGAGATGCGGGTAAAAAGAACCATGGAAAAGTTAAATAAAGCGCAGAGAGCCATGGATCTTCTCGGAAGCGACGTTCGGCGATGTATAGCTTCGCGACGGTGCGGTGCACGTCCGAGTCCTTGATTTTAAAGATTCTTGTTTTACTTCCAAAAAAGAAGGAGACGTTGGACTTTTATAAGATTACAAGCGAGAGGACAGTACACTGATCTTTCAACGAGAAAGATAACAAGACCGGTCTCTCGTCGTCGCGCGGAGAAACGTTGGTCGCGTGCCAACGCGTAAAATTCGCGCAAGAATGGAATCGTTAAACACGCATGGTTCTCTTAAAGTAATACCGAGAAATATTCGAATAATAAATACCATGGCGAACCAGAATTTTTCTCTGATTGGCGAGAAGAATTAAAAATGAGGTTGACGCTTATTATGAAAGTTTCGCAAGCGATTACGTCCTAGATGTTAGAATAAAAAAAAGCATCATCTTTTCTAAATGTATAGTTTTACATCGCCAGCTGTCCAAAAATTTCACAAAGTAATTCCTGCTTGAGAGAGAGAGAGAGAGAGAGAGAGAGAGAGAGAGAGAGAGAGAGAGAGAAGATACAATTAGTCAATTATTATCTCTCTTATAAAAAATAATTTGATTACTGTCTCTGTTATTTCGTTTCAAAAATATTCTATCACACACAATGCAAATTAATATTATAATCATTATCAAGAAGATGGTAAACTGAAACAATAAATATTAATACGAAAGACAGCAATTCTATTTCAATAGTTCCCATGTTTTATACGACACGATATTACGAGTACCTGCTGTTAACATTCACAATATATACGTAATTATCCCGTAATTTCAGTGGTGCAATAAAGTTTCTTAGCTATTACAAGGCTGGATTTGTTTCGAGCATCCCTATTTAAACGATACAGCAATCCGCTGTGTTCCCGGTTCTTGGGCAACTCCATCCCTCTGGTCCATCCCTCCCTCTCTCTTTCTCTCTCTTTGCGTCTTCTCTGTCGGTCCAACTATTCGAATCTCATCAGTTGACAAGCTTAGTTTCGTCAAGCAGAAATACTCTTGCTCACGAGAACGTGTGACAAAGACGGAACGACGAAGACGTTCCTCGGAAGAAGATAAACTATACAGAGTGAAGTAGTTAGATTTTCATAGTAGATGTAACGGAACTATCCTCGTGTCAATTCTGAAAAACATGCTTTAAAATCTTATAAATTAAAGCATTTAATGAAATATTTAATGATAAAATGTGTGTACATTTTGTAAACATCCCAGCAAACGATATTTCACGAACACGGAATTACACTTACCAAGATTGAATCATCTATATGTTCCTGTAAGTTAATTAAAACTGATTGTTTGAAAAAAAAAAAAAAAAAAAAGAAGTATAAAGTTCTATTAAATAATCGGACTTTAATTCGTTTCTTTATAAGGATTGAAAAAAAATGTAACGACTAACATTTCTTTAGAAGAATTCTAATGTCCCATATGCTTTCATCATTCTAATTCATAATCATTGTCCGGTAACGCGTTATCTCTATTGTTAAGCTTCGCGTATAAGTCGAGAAAGTTCTCGCGTCTCAATTTCACTCGGCGGGAAGTCATTGTTCAGGCTGGCGGATAAAACAGCGGATTGGCCAGGTTTCATTTCGAATGCCTGCAGGAATACCGATGCGACGTGACGCGATGCGATACGGACGACGAATGGACCGGTGTCTGTACGCGCGCAACAGCCCCCTGGAACGTATACAGAACGTGCATCTAGCGACGCGATAACACGATCGCATAAACTCGACCGTATCGCACCGACATCCATACGAAATTCACACCTTGCGCCGCTTGTCCAATCCGATCTGTTTCGTCAGCGGAAGAGATTCTGCGTACCCGCATGGAATAAACGCTCGTCGTCTCGCTTCCGCTCGCTAAACTATCCTCCTCAACCCCTCTCTCTCTCTCTCTCTCTCTCTCTCTCTCCTCCTTCTCTCTACTTCTCCTCTCTCATCCTCATCCCAGTTCGTGGTTGGGTCCGCGTAATTATAACTTCGGCAGAATCTATGACAACACCGCGTCGAACGAGTATTCTCGTTCTCGAGCTATTCACCCCTTTCAAAGGTGTGCTCTCGTGCTCACCGTGCTTGGTCTAATTATTTCATTTTCCGCTAAGCCTCTGTATCAACAGGAAAACAGACGGCGAGGACAGAAAAGTGGCGGTAAAGGTGTAGGGTCGGAGAACCCCAAGAGTCATTGTTAGATATCAAAGGAGCAATGGTAACCAAATCCCTTAAGTTAAATAACATTTTGTTATTTTTAACTTTCACGCGCACTCTTTCGATTCTTTGGAGTGGAATCTTATTCTAAAGAGTGGAAATTGTTGAGCCAGTCTTGAAAAAGAGTGGCTCAATTTTTATTCTTTAAGAGTGAGATTTCATATTCTTCAGATTGACAATTCACTCTAAAAGTTTTAGAAGAGTAAAAATATCAAAAATCAATCCGCTTCTGTGTGACTAGTTTCGAAGTAAACGACGTCCGTATTAACTAGAGGTGTGCAAGAATCGG